ATGCTCGACCAAATGGTTGATTTGTCACTTCATGGTAAAAAAGCAAAACTAATGTTTTCATATCATGCATTTCTTCAGTTTGAATGGACTGTTTGCTGAGAAATGTGAACTTTTGATCATTCACAGAATAAATATGACACAAGCTTGTTATTTATTCATGATTATACTGAGATCATTTCTTAAGTATATACATTTTTCGACACTTTTAGGATATTTTTTGACTAAATATAATTAACATTCAGCACATGATCACTACTAAGATGTGTCACTATTTGTAACTAGATGGTTTCTAAAACAAAATCTGTCAGTGTTATCTTCATTCCCTTCTTCAGCGCTATACAATTTTTCGCTGCAGTAGCTCTCCTTGTCATCCGAAGCCAGAAGGCACTGGCTGAGTGATTGACAGCTGACATTTCAGTGCTAGAGCAGTGGTGGGTCAATAAGAAGAGCGAGAAGGCAGGGCAAGTATTACGGACTTGGCTTTGTTTACTAGAGCAAGTTGACACGACAACTGTTGTAAACCATTCCTTAGCGCTGCGTTTCGCGTTTCAAGTGCAGAGATGCATTCTGAGTGAATGTCTCCTGAATCCGCGCATGTGCTGAACATTTTGCAGTAAAAACTGGTCGCACACAATAATTTTTTGCACTCGCACAAATGCTCCCAAATATATTTTGAGGTCGCATAGATAAAATTTCAGGTGCATATGCTACCAAAATGGTCGCAATTTCGAGCCCTGCCTACATTTTTCCTTTTTTTCATTGAATACTTGCAATTGGATCCGCTCCGTCTAATTTTCGTGACAATAAGAGTACTAATGTACTTACGCAGGTGCATGTACATTTGCAGGTTGCATTAGGTTGTCACCACCCTTGCATAATTCTTTATATCTATACAATACTTGAAGAAAAGTACATCATAAACGTAATATGCTTATGCGGTTCTTTGTGTGTTGAATATCTTATTGTTACCCCCCTATTACGCAAATATTATGGTTTGTACCTTTGTAATTTCAAGAAAAGTACACTATTATTTCACTGTACTTACGCGGTAATTTTCATGTTGAATATCTGGTTGTTACCCCCTTATTACCCAAGCATTACAGTTTGTTTCCGTATACCTACACATACGTTCATTATACTTACACTATACGTACAGAAAAGTACACTGTTATTTCACTGTACTTTGCAGGTTGTAAAAGAAAGCGTTACCAAGAAAAATTATTATCATAAATAGCTCTGACTTTCAGTAGTCTACCTTTGATCACTTCTTTAACATCATAGTGTGTGGGTATAACATTTTTTTGAAAACAATATATAGCAACGCCACCACTAAGTGACGTACAGTGACTCATTGTCGTGTTTTGATAGTCCATCAAAACTCATTTCCCATTCTACTGCATTTGTCAAGTCACTATGGCTGCCTTCGAAACAGCATGCTTCTCTACTATTAGGTATGGAAAAAGTAGTAGGCGAGCGATTGAGTATGTCTGATACCCCAATGTTCAAAAAAAAGAGTAGGCGAGAATGACCTCAATCCTCGTGAGATTTAGCCATACATATACTCACTTTGCCTAGATATGTGCATACTCACCTACAACACAATAGGAGAAAACAATACGTGAAGAAAGAAGTACGTTTGAAACTTCAGTAATCAAAAAGGTGTAGGTGAGAAATCCCCGGATTCCCTAATGCTTCTGCCCAGACTCCAGAGTATTCTCAGATGGTTACTTATCTATCCCAGGAGGCCATGGGAAAGCATTCGGCAAGAAAAGAAGAAGCAGGGGAAGAGGTTATGTCATAATTTTCAGGAAAAACGGGACGCGAGCGCTTTGAAATGTAAGTAATTGGAAAGCAAAAAGACGCTTCCCTCAGTTAAATCGCATGTGTTGAGTTAACGTTAGTGTATAGTGAACTGTAGAGTTGCTGAAAGAGTAAGGATGATTTATAGTAACATTACATTTATTCATTATAAGTGTTGCAGATCAGCAAATGACAACATTAAACAGACACCTGATTGAGTGATGTGTTTGTGCTGATGTAGAATTCACTGTTGTCGACACTGTTTACATTAAACTAACGTTACATATAATATTGATAAGTCATAATTCATTTGTTTTATCTGCTTATTTGTATAGTTGATGAGGAATTTATTTATTTTTATTTTCGAACACAAAATGACCTTAGTCTTTTAAAATGACTTCTTTATTTTGTATAATCTGAAATGTCCTCAGACTGGTGCCGTGTGCATTGAGGATGAAGAAGCACAGCAGTGTGCTGGAGATAATGAAGGAGATGTTGGAAATGCTGTAGTGCCATGGACGAAACCCTGACCAGAGGCGTAGCGATCAGGGTCCCACCCCCAATGACCGTCACAACCCCCCACCCACCGCACGGTAAGTATGCACCGCACTAAGCAGTGATTTCCGGGGGTCCCTGTTAAAATAAAAATAAAATAAAACATCTATCTTTTTCTGTAACAGTTTCAAAAATGTGTGCTCTCTTACTAATATCTCTTGCACCATTGATATTTAATGAGGCAAAATTTACCACTCCCATGAATAGGAAGAGAGTCAACACGCAACGTAAAAAAAATAAGACATATACTCGTGTAAGATAATTAAAAGCTTTAGCCATTTTGACTGCTATCACTTAATTCTGATTGTGCATTTATTTTGGTAACATATTTCCTTTTCCATATTTCGGAATACTTCTTGATCAGAGAAAAAAATTCTCCTTTCAGAACACTTTAACTTTGTCTATAAACTGGGTAATGTCAGGGAAAAACTCTTTAATTTTTACTCTTCTGACATTTTTTGTCACTTTTAAAAAGTGCTTAATGTCATCTGCCGTGTACACTCTACTGGAAAAACCACTACAGGCTGCCTGTAAGGCTATAATCAGATACTTCGCCTTCACTTTCAGTTTCATTTTGACTGCTTTCCCTACCCTCCCCTTATTTAGTTGGTTTCCTTGTATATTTCTCTTTTAATTTTCTTTATTTTTGCATTTTTTTAAATGAATAATCATCCAGCTCAAGTGCAGACTCCTTCACAAACGGTTCTATCAACATCTGTTCTCCAGATTTCGATACATTATCCTCATCATCGGATTAACGTACAGGAGCTATCAACAGTTCACTCTCTGCAGCATTCTTATCTTTATTAACATCAAGCACTTTTTCTATTCCATCGACTTGTATTTCTGTCAGTATAATTTCGTCATGTTGTTCTCTCTCAACTGAAGCCGCAGCACACACTGCTCGGCAACCGCAACTTCACTCTGTGAAACGCGGGGACTTTTATTAGCGGCAGACTCATGTCTTTTCTCATTTTGGGGCACTTTTTTGGGACAATCAGGAATAAGATGTGTGTGTTTTCCCCGCATCCAAAACACTTCATTGAGTTTGTTGTGACATAAATCACGTAATAAATTCCTTCGTGACTAAAATTTAAAAGTCAGATCTATATCTTGTTATCTTTGTTATCTTGTTATCTATGTTATCTTTAAGGATCATGTACACAAACCGTCTGAAAGACACCACATATTTCAGAAGGGAGGATTTACTCCCGATCGGGATCACCTTAACTGTCAAAACTAGTTTTCCATAACATGATAACATATCTGCTAAAACCACGTTTTTTTATAAACAGAGGTTTATTTAAAAGCATGACACTTAAATGGAGTAAAAAGGAGGACCTGCGTGAATATCCTGTTATTTCAACCCCTCTCAACTAGTTTATTTGCCAAATCGATAATTTTAACAAAAATTACAACTGCGCTATTTATTCGTGAGGCGGTCAACATGTTTTCACATCCAGTTATTATGCCTACAGCCAAACTACATTCAAACTATTTTACACATCACACCACTTCTCATAAGCAAGTTTAACTCATGTAATTCACCACTTTATGTTAAATGTAGGTTGATTTATACTCCTGCATTAAGCACATTAAGCCGTATGCTACGGCACAGCCTACGCGTTGACACATAGCCCTTCGCCGTGGCTGTCGGCGTCGCTGATGTGCACCTCTCAAAAAATGTAACTACACGTTGCAACGACGTGTAGCGCAAGCTCTGTGATTGGTTGGCTAGGTAGCGCTGACGAGTATGGGCGGGACTGAGAGTCGTGCGAATGGCACGAGCCCGATGGAGCGATCATTTTACAAGTGTGGAGTCCCGTGAAGAAGGTCCGGATAGAAAATTTTGTTTTGTGTTTACCTCATAGTTAAAGTTGTTGCATGTCTGCCAGTGCCTGCCTCAAAATGAGCGAGTGTGAACCACTTATACATTCAGGAAGCGTTCAGAAAAAACAAAACAGCAGCGAAGAAACTTGACACGGAGGAACATTAACACGTCACTGCCAACTAGCGTTTCGGAAGTGTTAATGCAGACCAAGAGAGACAACGTGCAGAAGTATAAATGCACAGCTACGTGCGTTGCATGCGCGATGGGTTACGACGGTCACCTGACGCAGAAGTATAAATCAGGCTTAATGTGGAAGTGGGGAGGCACAATATTATTAGGGAAACAACTCCCTTAGAATTCCATACCTCTGTCATTCATATGTTCACTGAGGCTTTTCATCAAGTCTGGACTCCTTACTTCAATTTTATTGATGTTTCTTTTAGCTGCATTTTGAGTTATGGTATTTCATAATTGAATTATGTATTTTTTTCTTTATTTTATACATATATAATTTACTTTATTATATATATATATATATATATATATATATATATATATATATATACATTTATATATACATTTATATATAGCTAAGCAAAATAATATTATCTTATAGCAAAAGCAAGTTTACTTTGCTTACCCCATTGGTTGAATATTTTCAAAAACTCTCTCAACAAAAGATATCCTTGTTAACGCCCCAGTAACACCCTGTATCCTTGTTAACGCCCTGTAATATGAACCAAAACAAAAATGAAAGCATGAGAGCAGCTACAAAATAAACATGCCAAACCCCATAAAATCAACAGATGAAAGATGGAGAACTACCTGTACGATGTGTTTTTTAAGGCCAGTAATCTCTCTGATGTGGCTCTTAAACACATAAAAAGGTATTTTGAAGTAAGATATAGAGAGTGCGTGATCAGTAATGAGGGTAATGATATCTACAAGATAAGTTTTGCGAATAAAAATGGTAAGCATGCTAGTTTTTATTGATTTTTTTCAAATGAAATAAAAGTCTTTAAGAAAAATTAAACAAAATATGTGTGTGTGTGTGTGTGTGAGAGAGAGAGAGAGAGAGAGAGAGAGAGAGAGAGAACGTATATTACATATTATAATATTCTATTTCTAGTTATGATACTTATTTTTGTGTTCACAGAGCAGAAAAATGTGCTAGACCAGAGGGATCATTTCATCAACATACCTGGACAAAGGACAGTCCGTGTGAAAGCATCTGCAAATCAGGTAAGTGTCACAGTCAGAAACAAATAGATATTTAACTTATATGTATTAGTCTGTTGTACAGTGTTTTCTGCAAATAATATATGGTTCTGCGAACAAAATAAGCCAAAACAGAGACTAAGTCTTTACGCAGAGTAAAGAGACTGGTTTTGGTTTAAATTAGGCAAAATCTTTATATTTTGTGCCGCAATAAGTCTCTCAATGTGATGGAAATTACAGGTCATTATTATTAGCCTCTCTCAATTTTTTACAAAGAATTTTTTATATAGTACAGCCGTATGCAGTGCAGGTCAAACAAAAAACTCAAACAATAAAAATGCTCCGTCTGATTAAAAATAACAAGACACCAACATGCCATCTAAGTAATTGCAGCCCTATGACACGTTACAACCTGATGTCCATTTTACACCCAGAAGAAGAAATTGGCTAGTTTCCCTCTAAAATTAAAGCTGAAAAAATACTAACATTGTTTTAATTGATGTTTAACACACAAAAATCTGTTACAGTTTTTCTCAGGTTTTTGAGCTAGAGACTGGGTTTTGCAGGTAATCCATGGTGTTGTATGAATTGTTTTGAGAAATGCACTTACTGTTTTGCTAATTTCAGTTCTGATCTGAGAAATGTACCAAAGCGACTGAGAAAAATTGCTTGCGAATCTTGAGGGTTTAATGAGTCAGGACAGACCTTGTCAGTTTTGTCAAAAAAGGATTTGAGTTATGGGGCATGTTTCCGGTGTGTAATACAAGTTATTAATTGCATGTTCTACATCCTATTGCACTGTTAACATACAGTATATATTTTAATTTAGCATTTATTGTATTATGAACATGTTAAGTATGCGTAAGAAAATAACATTTAAACATTAACCTTTACAAACAAAAATACTTAATAACGGCTGTAGTTTTTAAATAAACAATTAATGCAACTATTTTTTAAATAACAACTGTAATAGATAATAATTAAATAATGAATGTATCTGTAACGGGGAGACTGACACGGAGGGATCCATTTTGCAGTATTTATTAGACACAGTTCAAACACACATCCAACACGCACTAAAGTGCGAACACACATCAACAGCAATCAATAAAGATCGTGGGGCTGGCGGCTGACAGACACGGAGTGGTTTACCAGGCATAGATCAGTGGCAGGCGGCGTGGTTCAGAGTCCGTGTAACAAGCGTGGGTCGAGGGCAGGCAGCGTGGTTCAGAGTCCGTATAACAAGCGTGGGTCAAGGGCAGGCAGAAGGCAACTCAGAGTCAGAAACAGTCCAGGGCTGCGTTTCCCAAAAGCATCGTAAGCCTAAGAAGTTCGTAGAAATGATCGTACGACTGATCTTAATATTACGGTCTGTTTCCCAAAAGCATCGTAACTTAAGTAGCACTTGAAAATCTTCGTGGATCTACGAGTGCTCTGGAGTAATCGTAAAGCCTTAAGTGCATCGTAAGGAGACAGAGTTATGAGGGCACCTGCTGGACAACCGGCAAATTGCACCTACAATTTACTTCTCTTCAAAGTCATTATTCATTTTATTTGTACGTATATCTCTATTCATTTATATTTTCTACACATTACACAATTCAATATACAAATAATAATAATTAATAATTAGGCTAAACTTTTCAAAAATAAATGTAAGAGCTTATTTATTTATTTATTTATTTACTTATTTATTTATTTTGATGTGAGATAAGCAATTTTTGAGAAAGAAATTGATAAATAATTCTACTTAATTAAGGTTTCATATAAATATCGAAAATGATGCTGATGTCATTTCCGGCAAGGACTGTTAGAATTAGTTTTATGCGAGATTGGAGCAAGACAGTGTTTTTACAGTACGACATTTCCAGTTAATTTATGTTTTTAAACTGGCTCAAAAATATTTTTTTTTTTTATGTTATTCGAGTTGAATATACATTCACACAAGTAGAAGAAGAATTATATGGATTGCTATAACATGTGCAACAATAACGAGCCATTCTATAGCGTGACATTTCAGCACTTAACAAACGGATAGCGACTCCTAAGTTGCACTTAAAGCTGGGCTACGTGCAATTGTGTTAAGTGCATTTTTGGGAAACGCACGTGAAACAATAACGAACGTTCGCAAAATGACTCGTAGAAAACGCTCTTAAGTGCTAAGATCAATCGTTATCGGGAAACGCAGCCCAGATTAATGCACAGGAGATCAGGCAGGAAAGAACACTCAGTAATGCTGGCCATGGCTGAAACAAGACTTCGCAATGAGCTGGTGTTTGAGTGCGGCTTATATAGGGAGCATGGGTCATTAACTGGATTCAGTTCAGGTGTGTGCACAATCAGTCTAGGTGGATGATGTAATTCTTAGAAATCCGGGGATGGCGGTCTCTGCTGCCCAGCGAGGGGAATGACTGGGACCGAGTCGGTGACAGAATCAGTGAAATCATCAATAAATAAATGTATATTTACTTAGTAAAATTCCTTGAAAACAAAATATTTATTATTATGTAATTAAATTTCCATTATATTTAAACATTTAATATTAATCAATATCCCATTTCACATTCTATTATTGAATAATAATCTATGGTTTCATTATGCAATATTATTTATATATTATACAACATTAATTCTTCTATATTTACCTTTTCTGTTTGATCAGGTTAGTTAAAACAGCAAACACCATATGCAAAGTTTGTGTCAAGATTGTTTAAACAGCAATTATTTGTTGTACAATACAAAACTTTTTTTTTTACCTGACAATTAAGAAAAACACCTTTTCTACCATCAACACTGGGCTTTTTAAATTACTCGCGACGGAAATGAAGAAACAGCGCCAAATAATCTACGTGTGGCCAAAAGTATATTGCATCCGTAGTGTTAAGCACTACCATAGAGAATGAATGGGAAAAGTTAAGAAAAGTTAAGCTTAACTATTGGCGGCTGCCGCATACAGTACAGTACAGATGGTCCTACACGCTATATTGCCACATTGTACAGTTGCCTAAAATACCCTGACGTGAATACAAAGAGCTGCACTTAATGTTTTCCATGGTAAGCGCAGACCTGTGGTTTGTCACAGTTCATTTTAAAAGTTTTGTTAAATACATTAATGATTCTTTTGAAAATATACATTAAAAATTTGGTTATAAAAAGAACTATGCACTTATAACCCTCTTACAGTGAAAAAAAAAACTTGTATCTGTGCTTCTACGTCCATAAATATTCTCATCAAAAGAGCACTCAATGCTCAGTAAACTCTCTGAAACAGACAAACTCAACATAGCAACTTACATAGCGTATTATAATATCATATATGAATTATATGAATAAATAAATGAGGTGCTTTATCAAGAAATGAAATTATATAATTATTATGAATTAGAAATAAAAAAAATCATACTTCATTAATAATATTAATGATGATGATGATTATTATTATTGTTATTATTATCATTATTAAGTAGGATATTGTTTAATTATTATTTTTTTTTATAAAATTTTTAAATATGACACTTGTGAACCACTGCAGAAAGTTCTAACCAGCAGGCCTCTTCATAGCATCTTCAGAGAGTCAGTTGCTATTCCTACTTAACATACCCAGAAGTTACCTCTGATTTTTGAACCAAAGCTGAGGTTTTCCACCTACTTACTCTCAAACTTACCCGGGTATGTCACATTACCTGCTTTCTGCAACAGCCCCCAGCTCTGGAGCTGTCGTTAGAAACATAGTTCCTGGCTGTGTTCTATTCCCACTTATGTTTTACAATATATGTCATTCTCAATAATATTTGTAAAGGAAACACAGGCCCTGTATGTGTTATATATTTCATTTAATATGGATAGCGAGTGTATGTTTTTACCAAATCTATCATTGGATTTCATTTTAAATGCATGTGCGTGTAAAACAATATAATTTGCACAAAGAAATGAAGGGGTTCTTCTCTAAAAAAGTTGTTACTCCATTCCGTTTAGAGTGTCAGTTTAATTTCTAAAGAGTTTAATTACAATACAATAAAGCATTAACTTGCCAAGAAATGCTTCAATTTACCATTGTAAAATAATGCCCCCACTCATGCAATATAGAACCTTATCTACTTAACCATGGAAATATATGTACACACAATAACACCAAAGTTGCGTATTTGTAAAATAAAAAAATAAAAAACATGTGCTTTCTCTCATGCTGCCTCCGTAAAAGAGCGCGTCGTAGCAATGAATTGGCTACTTGAAAATAAATGTGCGCAGCATTGGCAATCTTTATATTTTTAGCCAATGACTGAGTATAATCCTGCACTATTTTATTAACAAGTAATTAAAATGTTTTCTTTTCCCCCAATACACTTACAAATGAAGAGGGAATCTGTATCTCAGCCTTAGTATTATTTCTAATGTTTACATACTGCCATAGGTTAATTCAATACAATCTTTTATTTAAAGAAAGAAAAACAAACTAAATAAATTTTTGTGAATTGTTTTTAATCCAAGCTAATAACATGTTAGAAAATACTGCAAATCAAGCTGTCAGTATCTCATGAAATTATTTGTTATTCAAAACAAAAACAAAAAAGAAGGAGAAGAAGAAATATTAGCGCGCCGTCTAGTTGTTTTTTTTTTATTTATTTTAGGCCCGTATTCAGCTGACAGGGCATGCACAGCCAAGATACTGAGAGAAAACGTAGGCTAAATAATATATTCTGTAATCTAAACAACTCAGAAAATCTTTGTCTATGGAGTCTACTCAGAGATGACGAAATGACATCTAAACTGGCTACAAAATATATACACCATTAGTAGTTAAACAACGCATTTTCCTTATTTTAAAAAATCTACTCGTTTAAATCTTGCAATTAAGATAATTTTTAGAGATAATGTCTGTTTTTATCAACTTCTCTGTCATTTATTTCTCGTTTGCTACTTGTTGTATTAACTTGTTGATGTTATTATATTACATAGGCTATTTTATATACATAGGCTATCTAAAATCCTTTGGCTTTCAAATTTGCTTTGAACTTGAAAGAAAGAAAGAAGCTGATTTGACCTGTCAGTGTGAGCACATTGCTCCTGAATAGCAGCTCTTTTTCATTTCAGACTTTACTTTAACCTATTAAATTAAAGTGTCATAATAAATACAATTATTATGATTAAAAATGGAATTGTGTTTTGTTTATCGCATATAGTTAACTATTTATGTGATGTGGGTAAATGGTGTGTTTCAATCCGGCTACCACCGCAAGTGCGGGAAGCACTGTAATTGATGCAGTTTTTCCAATAAGGTGGTGAAATAAATACATAAAATTTTTTATTAAGTGTTGTTTACATTAAATAATAATAATACAAAAAAAAAATTTTTCAAAAAAGTATTTTGTGACACCCACATCCGTCATTAAAATGCAGGTTTATGTTTTAATTTGGGTTAATTTTGCCAACGGCCAACCTCCGCTTGTAAACCGAATGTAACAGTTACCCCTTAAAAGACTCATAATAAAATATAATTTAATTTTAAAAAAATAATTGGCATGCCTATTTTGTGTGACACAATAAATATTGCATTGTATTAAATACTGATTTATTTTAACATGCGAACAGCATACAGAACTTGACAGAGCATCTTCACGCACCTGCAGTGTTTACAGCAGCATAGAAAAACTGAATAAACTAACAAAAAATAATAAATAAATACTGCTCTAGATCTTATACACTTAAATGACAAATTTGGATTACAAAACAAAACTACTGACTGAATCTTTTTTAAGAACCGGCATATGCTTGTCAAATCAAGTTTTAATCTTCCATCAAAAAAAAAAAAAAAACATTTGGCCAGATTAGATTGCTTCATGGAAAATATGCATTTAATTAATGCTCCGCTGCTATTTTTTTTACAAAGCCTGTCAACATTTTTAATAGAAGTAATTAGTTTAAAGATTATGTCTTATGATTATGACTGTCTGTCTCACTCGTGATCCATGTGTGCGCACTGCATGTAATGAAAGACAATGACAATGAGCCTTAAGGCATAATATGTTTATGCTTAATAATATGCTTAATTTGCATAGATGTTTTATAAGCTCTAAAACGAAAGCCTTTGTTTGGTGTGAAGTTATCATTATGCTAACATCAAAAAAATTTGGATTAGTTTGATTCGTAGATTAGGCTATGTAGGCTATTGAAAATATTATATAAGAACTGTCAATAACTGTAATTTTACAAATGGAAAAAGGTTGGTTTGTTGGTTGCAGCCTACATTAAATCACCAATTGCCTATTTGTTGAGTTTATGACACTGCCCCAGGCAGCACAGAGGCAAACAGCCTCAGCGCTGGTTTGTCAACTCCTTTGTGTCAAACTGTGACCGGAAATATATTAATATAGGCTTTCTATGAAACTTCTATTTATTTTATTTAGGCTAGATTATTATTAATTTATAAAACAAACCAACACAGTCTCACGTCAACTAGTATTTGGTGCTGAATATAGCGGACTTAAGTACTTCACCCCAAAGGTTATTTGTTATTCTTTATTCCTTTAAATAATGTAGCCTAGTTGTCTTTTTAGTGAATAATGAAGGACTTATAATGCTCTGTTTCAATGTTTATCTTTATTTACAAGTAGCAGAGTATTTACAGCTAATGTATAGTCTATTTCTGTCCTTTCGCATCCCGCCCCTTTGTGCCATCTGGCGGCATAGTCGCAAACTGCAGTCATACCTAAAAAACACATTCTTTTTTTTAAAAGCGGCGGCAGTAGATTGTGCGGTGGTAATGGTCACATTGAACTCTCACCTACTGTAAATTGACTGCAATGGTGCGCTTGATGTGGGGGATCGTCTTGCACACCCTGGCTGCAACACCATCAAGGGTGTTGAGGATGGAGGCGCACGAAGATCATGCAGAAAAAGGTGCCCTCCAAGACTGCGTGAGCCTAATGTGCACCTCTAGGAAAAATACCTTCATAGTATCCTTTACGTAGCACTTATCTAGTTGTTTTGGCCGCGGGGCTGGGGGATAAACCATCTCCAGACCCATGGCCGAAGCAGCTCGGGAAAGCACGGCCAGCATATCCACTTCTGGATCCGGCAATGCACTCACCACCCTGAAGGGGAACTCTGGGGTGGATTTCTCTTTTGCTTTTCACAATGATGGCATGCACTGCCCGCGAGCACCACATTAACATGCTGGACTCCCAGGCATGCAACGCAGAGCTTGTGCCTATCATCCGGGGACAGGGAACAACCACATCCAGAAACACACGGTTGGAACGGCATCTTGAAAAAGACGTGCTGCATAACCTGCATGACAAGCTGAGCTGCAGCTTTGCTCTTTTTGGAAACTTGCTTCCTAATACAAACTGCTCTTGGAGGACCCAAAAAATACCAGGCAGGGGAGAGGAACACAGCTCGACCGTCTGCCACTGCGTATACGCGCTCTGGACGAGGAGAAGCTGCTTCTCGATCTTTCTTTCTGTAGACACAGGTTGGAGAAACCCTCAACGACTCTCTCAGACACTTGTGAAAGGCTCTGAAAGCGAAAAGGATGTCTCAGCTGAGCACATGCAGTGCTTTTATGCAAAATTCAATGTCATTGATGACAGCTGTGCACGCTGACGCCGCCAAGTCATTGGAATTTCATTGGCCCATTTTTATACTCATTCATATATTTGGATTCTGACTAAATCCCCATAGTGGACGTTTTCCACATAGCATTGCATGGAAGTTCCCCACTCGAAGGGGAATTGTTTATATTTTACATAATTTTTTTTATATTTGTTGCTGGGCTGCTAAATACAGGTTATGGCAGGTATAATACTTCATTGTCTCCAGGAAATACTCTTATTGTTATGCCCTTATCATGCATTTTCTTTATTAAACTTTTTTTTTTTGTGGTAAATACATGTCTTATATTTGTATTTTTTATTTTTAGACATGTGTGGCTGTGGTTGAACAACACAATCAAGTGGACAGGAATTTAGAATCTTCAAGCAGCATGCAGGAACAACAGCAGGTTCAACAAACATTTCCTGTGTCTGAGAAACATTTTGCTCTCATCAAAGAACAGTTTGAGCTATACAAAAACTCTGATTTACCTACACTTCAGATTGAACAGGAACCCGATGTAATCCTTTTAAAGGGTCCAAAGACAGAGGTTCTAAAATGTTATCAAAAGCTTTCAACACTTAAACAGGGGATCATAGAGAATAGGTTATCAAATTATGCTTTTATGAACTTCTTGGTTTCAAGTGACAGTATAAATCACCTTCAGAAAAGATTTAAGCAGAGTCTCAAGAGTCCAGTAATGATTGAAATTTCAGGATCAGATCTGCTTCTGTTGAGTTTGTCTGATGGAGCTCTTAAGGAGGCGGCCAATGCAATTGAGACAGACCTGTGTTCAGAGACTATACACTTGAAAAAGTCATCTGACTTTGCTACGCTAGCGTTTGAACTGAGTAATGCAGTCAAGCAGGCCAATCGTGAAAGTGTAAAAGTGGAGCTTAAATACCAGAATGATTCAAATTCTGACACTGAAGTGCAACTGGTCGGCTTCACTACTAAAGTTACTGAGCTGATGAACATCTTGCTTGAATATAAAAAAAAACATCGCAAACATCATGTCTGCCTGAGACTTCAATACCCAGAGATGGCAAAACATTTCTCTAAGATCTTGTTGATGGCTGGTGTGAAGGAGTGCAGTGTGGAAATAAAGCCAACATGTTCATCTTCCCCATGCGTCCACCTTACAGGACCTCGATGTGAAGTTGAAACCCTTGAGTCATATCTCCAGTGTGTTGTCACTAGACATTTAGAGGTGAAAGGACCTGGAGTTCAGCAATTTTTTCAAGGTGATGGTGCAACAACTTTGAGATCAGTGAAAAGTTCTTGTCAGGTTGAAATTCTGCCCACTGATGTGCCCGAAAACACAATATCATCCTCTGCTTCATCAACGAATCACTCAATGGACTATGATAATATATTACATATTAAAGTTGTGGTTGGCCTTGAACAACAACAGGTATGGCTGGTAAACTTACTATACTTTTATTTCATTGACTAAAGAAAAAACAGCACAATAAATACTAATTCTACCATTCTTTTACTTGTTTTTATGCCATCCAATTTTAAGGTAGATGTCATTATTTTCTTAAAGAATCAGGACACCGGAGCTAATGCTTAAAATATCACACATATCTAATATAAGTCAAGCCATCTTTATTCATATAGTACTTTTTATAATGTAGATTTCGTCAAAGCTGCTTTACAGAGATTACCAGAAAAATCCCAACCAATATCTCAGATTGTAAAACATGTTCTGCATTTTAAACAGCAGAGTAGTGATAGAATGCTGGTGTAGTTCTTGTAAATTAAAAATGATTCTGTTCAGTTTAATACAAATTTAATACAAAAAAAATCAATCAACCCACAGTTATCTATTCAACCTCAGTTGAAAAAAACTAATATTTTACTAAAAAAAAAAAAAAAATTTAGCGTTAGCAAAATATAGTCTAAAACAATTTTATTAACTGTAAATTATTATTTATTTACTGTAAAATTTGTGCTGGCGGTTTTCAGAATGAGAAATTGTGGTGTAATCAGTTCTGCTGTATATGAACAAAGTTTTTTTTTTTTTTTTTTTTTTTTTTTAACCAGGGCTATTGATTAATAAATTAAAGTCATTTGGATTGATGTTGTTGTGTTGATATTGTGTATGTTTTAAAAAGTCCATCTACAAGAGTTGAAGAGAGGTTTTATTAATGGTAATCTAGGACTTGAAATTAACTTTTTTACTTTGTAGCACTAGTTCTACCAAATAAAAAAATAGGAATATTTCAGCAAAAATGTAAGTGCACTGCATAAAAATGCATGAGCACCACTACTACAAGTTGTATATAAATGGATTTATTGTATTTGAATTATTCAATTAGTTCTTGTGATTTTCATCATGAATACAGGCAGATGTGTTTGTTGTACCAATGGTCAATACAAACATGACCTCAACATTGATTGGATCATCACTGTTGAATAAAGCAGGACAGCAGCTTCAAACTAACTTCAATACTGCTAAGGGAAATCGTACACTTAAATCTGGAGAAGTGCTGGAGGTGGATGCACCACAAGGATTGGGATGCTCAAAGGTTTTATTCCTCGAATGTGCACCACAAGGAATAAACCACAACTGTGAAAATGTAAGAGAAAAAAAAAACTGAAAATATGGTGCTTACAGAAAAGATTTTACAATATTTTATTAATATGTATTTTATCATAGGCACTTCGCTGTGGACTTGGTCAAATTTTTGCACTTTGTGAGCGGAATTTATGGGGTTCAGTTGCACTTCCAATTATTGAACCTGAAGATGTGTTGTCCATACCAGTCAGAGATTCTGTTAATATTCTCACTCAGCAGATCTCAACATTTTTATCTAAATCCACTCATTTCCTGCACACCATTCGTATCCCAATAATGCCTAATTACTCCCATTCTGAGGAAGTAAGCTGTTTATGTATTATTCTATCTCTCTCTCTCTCTCTCTCAATTTAATTAAATTCACCTTTATTTCTATAGTGCTTTACAATAAAGATTGTGTCAAAGCAGCTTAACATAAAATATTATAGTAAATTGAAACAGTGTCAGTTCAGTTTTCAGTGTTTAAGTTCTGTTTAGTTCAGTGTGGTTTAATAATCACTACAGAGAGTCCAAACACTGAGGAGCAAATCCATTGATTTGCAGCTCTACAGATTCAGAACCATGCAAGCCAGTAGCAACAGCGGCGAGGAAAAAACTTCACCAATTAGTGAAAGTGAAGAATTAAAAAACCTTGACAGAAACCAGGCTCAGTTAGGCAAGACCATTTCTCCTATGGCCAAACATCTTGTGCAGAGCTGCAGTCTATAGGCGCCAGAGGCTGGAGAACACTGGACGTCAGCGAAAACTTGACGAAAGTCTGTCCCTGGAGCGTCACAGGAATCAGTCTCATGCTCTCCACTCTTCCATGACCACCACAGCAGCTGCTCAGGATACGGCCTGGTCCAGGATTATGGAATCCTTGGGATCATCTCGTCGCTGGTCTCTGATCACATCAGTGGCGCTGCATACTCTCTGAGAGCCTCGGGATGAGTATCCCCAGGTGGAAATAGAGAATAAAGAGAATAATTATTGTAGCTGCTGTTCATAGTGTATATAAACGAGATGAAGAACACTGTGTGGAGCACATTCATGCATCATACCGCTATGTGATGCACTAAGTGTATGCTTTACTAAAAAGATAGGTCTTTAATCTAGTTTTTAACTGCGAGAGTGTGTCTGAGCCTCAGACATTATTAGGAAGGCTATTCCAGAATTTAGGAGCCATAAATAAGAAGGCTTGACCTCCTTTACTCAACTTTGCTATTCTAGGTAGTACTAGAAACCCTGAACCTTTTTTTCAAAAGTGAAATTGAGGTCTAATATGACACCCAGATCTTTTATAGTAGAGTTAACGCTAACTTTTTATCCCTCTAATTTCAGGTCGAGTTGTGAGATCTGCTGTGTACAGGATTTAGGTCCAATAAGTAATCATTCTGTTTTGTCTTAGTTTAAGAGAAGGAGATGGTTGGTCATCCAGTCTTTAACATCTTTAATACACTCAGTTAGCTTAGACAGTTCAGACATCTCATCTCTCTCTCTCTCTTTCTCTATGAACTGAAGTTTACTAATGTGACCTTAAATCCCAACCATATTTTTCAGATGTTTCAGATAGTTCTTGGGACTCTTCATGCACTAATGGTGGACAGCACAGGACAAGGCAAGAGATTAAAGAGGGATTTAAAATTGTGTTCATTAAGTGTTGCTATTTTGACATCTTTATCAAAACCACACATTAAAAAATATAAGAGAATAAAATGAGTAGTTTTTGAAAATGAGCATTAAAAAAATATATATAATATAAACATACTAATTGCAAATTATAGAAAATACAACAAAGAATCTGTAAATAGAATAAATGAGTTTTTATACCTGCCACCTTCCCCTGTCCCCACAGCACTGTTTCACTCACTGACCACTGACCTTGATGAGGTCATCATGGCAGTAGACAGGATTAAACTCCATCTAGTGTTTGGTGACATCACTGATGAGATGACTGATGCCATCGTGAACACCACAGACTTTAATGACTTTCAGACAAACGGTATGCATTCAAACTTCTTAATATAATAACCCAAATGTCTTAAAATATTTAAAGGTTTAGACCATAGGAAGGTACTTGATTTTTTATTTTTTTTTGCTTTCATAGGAGCCTGTAAGGACATTCTCACTAAAGCAGGTCCTTCCGTCCAAAGTTTGCTGAAAGGAGGTAAGTAAAGTTACCTCCAAAAAATCTCTTTTGATTTATTAAAAGTATGATTAGAGTTGTCTTATACTGTAGTATCAAGTGCACTATAAAATGCCTTTGTTAATGTCAAAAGTATTTTTGTCACAAAGATTCTGGAAAAACCATATATTCAGAAATGTCCTGGATACTAACATAACCCATTTCCCCCTTAAGTTGGGAATGGAGATGTGTGTCTTCACACTTTGGGAGTTTGCAAACAACTCCCAAATCATTCTGAAGTGTAAGAAAACGGGCCAATAATTGTCAATGAGTTGGCAGAGCTCGGCTCCGCAGGTGCTGATGATTAATTATTAGTAAAGTATATAACCAGCACATGTGGAGTGAGCAGAATATTGTTAAGCCAAAAAAATGCATATTGCGTAAACCCAGGGCCAGCTGAGAGCCAGCGCATTAGTGTAGAGCAAGGTAAGTAGCTGTCAAAGGGCAGCTCGGGAGAAGCAGCAGGATGACCTGGGTTTCTTTGAAGTGTACTCGTAATACCAAAATGGACCATGCCAAAGTGGAGTCTCTATTCTCCCAGGAATGTAACTGTCGTGAGAGAGTGTAAGATGGCACAGGGGTATGAACGACTTGCATCGATTTAGCCACGTGACTCCAGAGTAGCAGATGGCGAGCCAGCTGAGACATGCTGTGGGAGCGCACATCACAAGGTTGATCTACACTATCACAGCCGTGCTGATCATCCTAACCAACACATGGTTCCGCTCCTGCACTGGTAGGGACTGGTGGAGAGCAAGGAACACTGTCAAAAGCTCCAGGCAATTGATATGACAACGCAACTGAAGTCCAGTTTATGAACCTGCAGCTATATGCTTGATACCCACAGCGAGAGGACACTTGTTCAAAGGGCACCCAGGCCCAAAGCAGACAAGTTCCATTTAGGGACTGAAGGTGCGACGACACAGCAAGGTGATGGTCAACCGGTGCCTCTCCCCATTCCATTCCCATCTGTGGACCTGTTGTTTACGATCGTAAAACCAGCGCTGAAAATAGTCTTGTATGAACAATTTGAGAGGCATGATAGTGGCTACAAATGTTATATGCCCCAGGAGCCTCTAAAAAACTTTCCACAGGATGGCATGCTAATGACAGCTTTGAACACACACCCGGGATCTCGAGAGGCTGATGGCAAATTTAATTGCATAGCGGAGTCTGACCGTCCGAATGAGCTACTACGATAGACTAGGCAGCACTCAGGATCCTTGGATAGATCCTTGGGAGACTGTCTTGAGTACAGCGTAAAAAGCTTATTCTGCATTTTGCTATTGATGACCGAAATTTATTGCAGGCATGAGTTGTATGGATGCGTTTGTGTATGCTGGCTACTAATGGAAGATTGCCAATGAAACAGACCGATGATTGTAAAAACACCAAACTTCTAAAGAGCACCTTTCTTCATGTGCAATGTGAAAGGAAACAGAAAGACGTGTAAGCAGCGGAAAAGAGATCTCTACTTGTTGTGGAAAAAAGATTCTGGTCTGCAAAATATCTTCCAAGTTTCTAAAGCCTCCTTTCTACTGCACATGACAATGACAAACAACTGACCGGAAGTCATTCATTTACAAAGGAGAGTAGTTTGTGAGTTCCCATAGTCTCCTTATGCGGAAAATCGAATCTGAATTGAGCTGTGGATTCATTAAAATATTTGAAGTCCTGCGACTAGAGCATATGCGACCGGCTGACCGTATGTGATGTATTCCAGTGCTGTACAAGCAGGTCCGTGCGCGTGAGATGAAAAAAAATAAAAATTTGTTTATTTTTTTTAATCAAAAAAGTCTAAATAAAAAAAAAACATTTCTGTTTATAAATGTAAGTAGTAAAGTAACAACAATAATGTTTTATGTTGTCTCCACATTCCCTTCAATATTTTAAGCGGTCTATCAGTTTCTAGTATTCATTAATTCATTCATTCATTCAACCACTGCGAACGCACAGAGAATAAAGGCTCTTGCTTTTGCACTCCTTTATCTTGGACACTTTGAGAACAGCATCTCTCCCATGGTGCACATCAGAACTGAAAATTCTGTGGGACTGCCACAAGGAGGCATATTCTGACAGTCGTGTCCAAATGACGTGTGCAGTGGAAAGGCAGCTTAAGCCAAAGTTTTCAAAAAATAACAAAGTCTGAGATCGCTGAAGTCTTTAGGCAAAGCAGTTTATTGTTACAGCATCAGTAACAACAGAGACAGGTCATTCAAGTGTCTGATTAGTATAGGCTAGCACACAGTTTAAATACACTTCTTTGTCTTAACACTCCACCCAAATTTACACATTAGCACACCTCCATTAGTTTCTCCATTAATAGAATTTAAAATCCCCTGTGTGATGCATGCCCAGTTGAGTAATTTCTTTACCAAAAAAAAAAAAAGATCTCAGGTTATTTAAGGATCCTACCAATGAGCAGTTAAGGTCTTTCCTTCCTACTTCAAATATGGCAATTCAGCAAAAACATTGCTCAACAATATATTTTGTCAACTGTGAGTTCAGCTGAAGTTCACATGGGTAGTTTTAGGGTCATCGTACTTTTAAAGTCATTGCAACTGAGCGTGGGTGCATGTCTGAGTGTGCAGGTGTGCCTGAGCATGAGTCTTACATGAAATAGAATGCAAGTGCCCTCATGACCTTCCATAAATCTGTTCCCATTACGTTACACATCCTGCTCTTTTAACATAAAAAGCATAATAATAATAATAATAATGCAACTGAAAGTAATGTGATCATCAGAAATTCATCAATACATCAATAGATGTACTCAATACATTCTTTTAAACACGGACGAAGTTCAAAAGAAAAGGTACTATGTGTCCTCAATAATGGACGTTCCCCTTCGGGGGGAACTTCAGCACTATAAGTGGATTTGATTTGTAAAATCCACGCATTGGGAGGATTCGGATCAGAAGCCGCTTGTCTGGAGAGTATTGAACGGGCCAATGAATGAAATTAATTGGCAGCGTAAGCTTGCGCAGGTGTGCGACATCTGCAATTATCTCAGCATATAAGCACACCTGAAGCCAGCAGACGCCATCCTTTTCGCTTCAGATCCTTTCTGAGTGAGTCGATGAGGGTTCCTCTTGCTGATCAGCACTTCAGAGCGAACGAGTGTGTCTCCCGGTCCAGAGTGGGTCTTCGCGGTGGCAGACGGTCGAGCTGGGTTACTCCCTTGCCTGCGGTTCTTTGGGTCCGGTCCTCCAGAGCGGTGCGTATAGTTGCAACTTTCCTAAAAGAGCAACACAGTCGTGCAGCACGTCCTTTTCAGGATGGCGCTCCGACTGTGCGTTTCTGGATGCGGGGGTTTCCTGGCTCCGGATGATGGACACGATCACTGCATTGCATGTTTGGGGGTCCAGCATGTTAATGCGGTGCTCGCGGGCGGTTCATGTCATCATTGCGATGCCATGACCGTTGCACAGCTAAGATCGCGGCTAACTTTCGCAAGAGAGCGAGCCACCCCAGTTGCCTCCTGTTCTAAAAAAGCAGCGGGCGCTCGGGCAGATCTGAGGGTTTCAGCGGGAGATAATCCGCCGCCCACGGGCTCGCGGACCTCTCGCTCCTCACGGCGCTCCATCCAAGCTTCGGGTGGTGAGAGTGATCCGTCTAACCAGATGGTAGCTCTCACACTCGCTGACACCGGAGATCAGATGTCCTCCGCGGCATTGGAGGGTGGGCTTTCACTGTCCGACGAAGATCCGGACCCGCTCGCCCCCTCCGGGCAGGTGAGCGCTGTCAAATCGGATCCTGAAGCGGACATGTTAGCCGTGCTTTCCCGGGCTGCTTCGGCCGTGGGGTTGGAGATGGTTTATCCCCCAGCTCCGCGGCCGGACCGACTAGATGGGTGCTACGTAGAGGACCAGAAGGCGAAGCCTTCGAAGCCTCTCGTCCCCTTCTTCCCGGAAGTGCACAGTAGGCTCACGCAGTCTTGGAGGGCACCTTTCTCTGCCCGTGCTGCGTGTGCCTCCGCCCTCACCGCCCTTGACGGCGGAGCTGCCAGGGGGTATGAGGCGATCCCGTCAGTGGAGCGCGCTATCGCGGTCAATCTTTGTCCGCGCGGCGCCTCTACGTGGCGGGGTTTGCCCCGCCTCCCGTCCAAAGCCTGTAGGTTGTCTGCCTCCCTCGGAGCCAGAGCTTATAAGGCTGCGGGCCAGGCTGCTTCTGCTTTGCACGCGATGGCCACCTACCAGCGCTACCAAGCGCAGGCGCTGGCCGAGCTGCACGAGGGCGGGTCCAACCCAAGCTTATTACATGAGCTGCGCACCGCGACCGACTATGCTCTTCGCACTACTAAGTCCGCCGCGTGTGCGCTGGGGAGGACGATGTCCACACTTGTGGTTCAGGAACGCCACCTCTGGCTAAACCTGGCCGATATGCGCGACGTTGACAAAGTTCGCTTTCTTGACTCGCCCATATCCCAGGCTGGCCTGTTCGGCGACACCGTCGGTGAATTCACCCAGGAATTCAAGGCGGTGAAAGAGCAGTCGGATGCGATGGGCAATGTCATCTATCGGCGTGGCCGTAAGCCCGCTCCGCCCGCCGAGCCATCCACCTCCGCTGTTCCTCGCCGAGGGCGCCCGCCAACGAGTGCTGCCCCGCCCCCGCCTGCGCCTCCGGCCAAGCGGGCGCGGTGTTCACCTCGAAAGCAGGCAGCCCCTCCTGCCCAGGGCGCCGTTAAGTCCGGTAAACGGACCGCGAAGCGTCCCTGAGACAGGCCATCCGGAGAAGAGGAAACTTGCTCTTTCCCCGCTGGAGGGCGGGGCCCCGATAACAACGGTACTTTTCAGTGCCACCAAAACATCAGTAAAAGAGCACTTTTTCCCTTCCCCGGATGTGACTGCACGAGTTCTGCCAGTCCGGGACGCGCTGCCTTCCGGCTCGCAGACTCTACGTGCTTCGCCAGTGGCTCACGAGCGCTGGGGGGACGGTCTCCCTTCCCTCAGCCCTCCAGCCCCCTCTCCGGAGTCAGGGTG